AGGAATGTATCCTAGGATGGAGCTGTATACTGCAATTATTCCACCAGTTCTTACTTTCAGGAGTCCAGCACTTGCCCTCTAATTTTTGGCTCTTACTCATGTTGCAGTTCTTAACGTGAAGCTGACTGCACACCCATCTGTCCCTTCATTTGCAAAACATCCTTCTCTTGCCTTTGTTTCCAAAGCCTTAACACGTGTGTGTGCAGCTGCTCTTAGCTGTGAAGTTCTTGGGCGCCATACAGAGCTGATTATGTTTCTTGTTTTACCCATACTGGAGTGGCTCTGGAAATGCTGACTGTCGGATGTGCAGCTCAGCAGCACCAGTTTGTCCCTTTTCCGTGGCCCTTTTACTGGTGATCCTGAGCACAGTGGCTCTTCTGGCAGTGATGTGGCAGTGTGCAAGTTTCCCGGCAGTGTCAATACGTCCTGGCTGTGCAGGGGAAGCCTCGGAGCCTCTGTGCAGCTGACTGTAGTCTCCTACAGTCTCTGCTTGCTTCCTGACACGATGGTATCAAAATAAGGAGAAAACTTGTGTTCATGACACAGCCTCTGCGATGGTTGCAACCTTGGCACTCTGTTTGATTTTTACTGCTTTTATTTTATTTTTCAGCATCCAAGGTATTAGGTCTAGGTTTTGTTGCAGTATCCCTTAGGAGTGGAGACTCAGCTGTATATTGGTGATCTCACTTCTGGCTTCATTGGAGGTCAAACAGTCTTTCCAGAGACCCTTTATTCTGTCGTTTAACAGTAATGAGGTGGCAGAGGTCCAAAGAAAAAAAACAAACAAACTCTCCTTGCTTTTATCAAGTTGTTTTGCTTCCCAAATACATAACCTTACTGTTTCTCCAGGTAGCAAAAGCATGTCTCACAGTATGAGACTGGGATAATTATTGTGAAAATAAGACTTTAAGCCCTGTGTTTCCATTTCTAAATGCTACCATTGCTGTCTATCTCCCAAACACTCATTCTTGCTATGGGTCAGACTTACTCTTTTCCACAGGAAGATTTTTTCCAGAGCCCAGCTGTTTTTCTGCAAATACCATATCATTAGATCACCTTCTCCTACAGAAGAGTTTGCTGCTAAAAATCTGTGCCCACTTCTATACAGAAAGTGCTGGCAGGCCACCTGCGGTTTGAAGGAGGCTGCAATTATTGTCTTGACAGTATCACTTGTGCAAGTTGTGACGGTACCCTGTGTCTCACATATACTTGGTCCAGGAACATGCAGAAAGACAGTGAAGTGAACTGAATTCGTTGAGGCATGTGTAGACCTGAAGTCTCTGTCCTGTTGTAGTTGACTCCTGATTTCCCTGGTGCTTATTTATTTTTGCTCTCTGTAGTCTTCTAGCATTAGGCATCATAATCTAAGCTTTTAGATTCACTTGGACCCATTTAGTCTGTCATCCTTGTTTCTGTTGTGGCAGCTGTTGTGGGTTTAAGATAGAAGCAGTGAAGCTTCCAGCTCTTTCCTCTTAAAGCTCTTGCATGTAGGAGCATTTTTTAGAGGCAGAAAAGTGGGCTGCTGAAATTGCTGATGCTCAGTGATTTCCCGGTTATGCACTTGAATACGGGAGGAAGGTTTCTGCCTGCCAGGATGTGCTAGCTGATGGATTCCCAGCTGACTGCTGCAAATGCCACAAAGCTCAGTGCATGCATGTTCCTCGCCTGTCTTCCTGCAGCACTCCTCCAAATGGGAGCAGGGGAGGGGAGATGAGATGGGTGTTGCCGGAAAGCCAGGTTATTCTAGCAGCTCGCTGTGAATAGGGAAGACATGCCAACTAGAGCAGAAACATGCTGGTGGAGACCTGGGCTGTGACACCTGCAGAGCCGTGAGGAACGCAGCAGGATAAACTAGGAGCTGGGCACTCCAGCTCCTGAGGAACTCGTTGGAAAAGCATTCTGTCTTCCTATTCCAGTCTGA